TTACTTTCTCAAAAAGCAGAAAAGCTTGTTTTTATATATTGGAATACACGGATTCTTCGTCAAATAAAAAGATCTATACTAGTTAAAGATTTGCAAAAAGCTAATACGGAAATTGAAAAGGCTCATAGCATTAATTCAGAGAATCAAGAAGCAAGAAATGATCCGGATTATGATAAAACTGAAGTTTTTGATGATGATAATTTTGCTACTTTTTCTAACCGTCTTATTAATATATTCGATGGTGATGGGTATGAATTTGATGATAATTTAATTACTTAAAAAATTTTTTTTTGTTTGGTTATTGTTCCAATTTTTTTTTTTTTTTTTGCTTTTTATTATTCGCTATTACTAACTATTAGTACTCAAGTTTTTGGCTTAGGTCTCTTTCTGTATATCTACTGCGTATATATCAAAATGGATTGATAAATATTGTTAATCGTTAAATGTGCAATTTTGATACATAAAAAATTTACTGTAAACATTTTGCAAATGCTATGTTCTTAGCAAAAAAAAAAAAAGTATAGACCAGTAATGCCGGTCAAAGCCTATAATGCTAGTAATTATATATTACATAATAAATTTACATGAAATCTAATTTTCGTAAAATTACATGTAATGTAACAATGTAAATTATGTAACACAACCCTACTCGAATCATAAAATTTTAACTCGTGAGTTATTCGCGAGTTAGTTAATTATAGTGTAATTATATAATTCTATGAAATAAATTATTGCAATTGCGAATTTTTAAAAATCATTTCATCGTACAAATATGGAGTAAAACAAAAGGTGACAGTGAACGGGAAGAAACCCTGATCCAGAATTGGTGGGCGAAATGCTGTTTTTTTTTTTTAAGGATTTATTGGATACAATATTTCCAACTAACGAATAATTAATATGTGCTTTAATTGTAATTTAAACTATTTGTTTTATCATTATAACCAACTATATTTGCTTTTTATTATAATTCACAATTTGAAATATATTTAATGTAATAGCTTTGCTTTTTATGTAATTCGCGATTTGAAATCTATTTATTGTATTAGATACGCTTTTATTGTAATTCGCAATTTGAAATATTTTTAGTGTATTAGATTTGCTTTTTGTTGCATATCTACGGCTCAAATAACTCGAATAAAACTCGAAAAAATAACTCGACCATATAATTCGAATGATTCGAATACTCTTCTGAGTTTAATTAGCGAGTCTCGAGTTGATTTGAGTCCAGTCCCTAGTTGAGGTTAGAGAACGCCCTAAAATTGTTAAGGCCACTCCAAATTGATTCCTTGTTTAATAACATAACATTAAATAGTTCATAAGAGCGTGAAAAATACACAAATTAAAAAAAAAACAGCAATTCTTTTTGCTGTAAAAAATAAAAGCTAATACTGCCATTTGATTGGCTAATACGGTGTGTATTTATAAAAAATTAAATTGGTCTAGCCCAACTAATACGTACTAATTTCAGTCAAGTAAATATGTAATAACGTTAGATTTCTACCTTACTGCGTAATTTTTATAGAATTTTAAACGTTAAAATATTACGAGAGAAATTAAAGACAATTTTTTTATAATGATCTAATATAGAACGCAAATTCAAAAAACTTCACTGTAAAAACCTTTATTCTACACTATGTTCATAATTCGACCAATAATATAATACCCGATATTTCAACACTCCCTGTGGTTGATCATACGGAATTTTGTTTCTATGTCAAAAAGCGTTTTGACATTTTGTGAAGACTAGTAAATACTATTCGAGATTCTACCAAATTCCAAATATATAGTTAATTATTAAAAAAATTTTTTTAGAAAGTTGTTTTTTTATACGTATAATATACATGTGAAAAATTTTTAATTAGTGCATTTTCTTATAAAAATTTTTTTAAAATCCAAACTATATAGTTAGCTTTAAATAGGCAAGAAATAAAGATTATTAATAAAATTAAAACCTTTTATATAAAGCATAAATTTTCGTTTTTAATATCGATATCAATATGATTTATTCTGTTAAAGTATATGAGTGGCACCGCCATGCCTAACCCTGTGGCTCTAGTAGCCATGGCTCATACTGTGGCATTGCCAGGAGTAGATTATCATGCTCGATCAAAAAAGCAAGTCACATGACAGACATTTCGTTTTCGCTATCGCTAATCAGATTTTTAAAATTCAAGCTACGAATTCAAAAACTCGAAGAATATTTTTCTTTTAGCAGTATACAAGAAGTCACTCTTACATTTCATAAGCCACGTTTCTGTATTTAATAGTCATTGTGTATAACAACATGATAAATATATCACAACATTGTAAAATGCTTTCGTTTACTAATATAGCTCAACCTTTGTCTGTGTTTCGTCTTTTATCGGAGTTCGAGGCGTCGTCTCATTCCAGAAGCTTCCCCTTTCGCCGGTGGCTTTGCTCTTCGCCAGGTGTTTCGCCTTTCACTAAGGGCTTCGCCTTTCGCCATTTACGTAAAGCGGGTTCGCTTAACAATTATAGACAGTATCATAGCACTGGTATATGTTTAGGTAAGTCCTTAATCCCAATTATATGCGTTAGGATATCACTTTTATATTGATCAATAGCATAATCTCTTTCCGAACCGAAGCTCAAAAAACTCGAAGATTAATCGCAAAACCTGGTAAAAAAATAATTGATCCAAAACCAGTAGCCTACGATGAAGATAATTTGGATCTAGAAAATACTGACCTATTTCCTATCATCGAAACTCAATCTGTATCACAACCAATTGTCTCCAATCTACCTCCCGGAATATCACAAACATTTTATGACTTATATACTCATATTAACGAACGTACTCAACTCACAACTCCATCTCACGAAATGCCACGCCACACCCGTCTCAACAGTTTAATATATCACACAACAACTCGTGCAGAGGCTGATTTACTCTGTGAAATTGTTGCTCAATGGCGCCGAAAGTTATTACCAATAACTTTAGTAACCTCAAGATTGTTAATAAGAAAATTATGTGAAATCGATGCTCATCATTTAGCATTTGATATGCTGGCCGATAGGTCAAAATATGCTTTAAAACCAAATGTTGAGATGTTTAGATGGATTATGTTGGCTTATGTGAATGAGGTGGTCAAACTTGTTGAAAATACCACACAAATTATTAAAAGTGATGATAAAAGCGAAGATAAAAGTGATGCAAAATTGATATTAGATGACTTATTTAGAACTTTTGGTTTAATGCCGTATTATGATGTGCCACAATTCGACGTGCACCTTTATACGATCATGTTATCAGCATCTATAAAATTGGAGTCATGGCAATTAGTTGACGAAGTCGCTAGAGAACTTATAGACCATCTGGACGAATCTCACAACCAAGAACAAGATATATTTAAAGAATATAGCGATGAAGTGAGGATGTCATGGTTAACATCATGTTTAGAAGTATTCATGTTATTGGAAAAGTGGTATGGTGAAAATAAGAATTTGATATATGCAGAAAAGTTTAAGAATTTACAGGAACATTGGAAAAAAGAAATAAAGATACAAATTTAAGGATATCTTTTCGACCATCGTACAAAACTTCCTTTGTTTGATAGAAAAGTTAACGAACAAAAAATATATTTATATATATAGTAAATAAATCTTAAATTCCCAAACCACATTAAATTATTAGCGTTAAGTATCATAATAGGTATCATAATATTGCATAACAATACATTGTTTTAAACCTGATTCAGCAAAATAGTATTCTTCAACTATTCTTGATTATCTTCGGTACTAATTAATTTTTCGAATTCATCATGCCAATTTATACTAGAAAACTTATTTTGTTGATATACTAATCAAGCTTGTTACTTAGTATGTATAACTAGCTATATATTTAATATTTTTTTAACCAGATTTGATAGTTTAATTTTATTCGACGGTTTATTAACAATTTACAGAAACGCATTCATTATAGGAGCAATATATTTGTAACCATGGTTACTGTACCGCATCCCATAAAAGCCAATCAAATTTAAAGATCAGGTGTAACGTTACACAATCAGGAAATTCAAACAACGTTCGTTTTATCAAAAATTGTCAAAAATCGGTTATAACTCA